TAAGGATCAAGACTGACGACAAGGGGCAGGTCACCATCTACAAGAGTAGGTTGGTGGCTAAGGGGTTTATGCAGAAGGAGAAGCGGGACTTCAATGAGATCTTTGCTCCCACTGCCAAAACCCCTACCCTTCGTGTCTTGTTGGCAGATGCAGCCGTTGGTGGGAAGTTCATTATCCAGATGGACATATCAACGGCATTCCTCAACGGGATTTTGAAGGAGGAGGTGTTCATGACGCAGCCGCCTGGGTATGAGGATGGTACGGGCAGGGTGTGCAAGCTGAAAAAGTCCATCTACGGCTTGAAGCAGGCGCCACGCTGCTGGTACCAGAGCTGGCAGCTGTTTTAGAGGAGATGGGATTCAGGACCAGCAGCTGTGATAAGAGCCTCTTTCTCAAGGGGGAGGGGGACAAGCTGGTGTTGTTTCTGGTCTACGTGGACGACATTCTTCTCTTCAGCAGCAGCATGAAGGAGATCCAGAAAGTGAAGCAGCAGCTGATGGAGAACTTCAAGTGCAAGAACATTGGGGAGGTAAAATACTACCTCGGAATGCACGTGGAGAGGGATCTGGATCACAGGTGGTTGAAGCTGCACCAGGAGAAGTTCATCAAGGAGCTGGGGGAGAAGCATGGGATTGAGAATGAGCGCAAGGTTGCAACTCCCCTGCCTGCAGAATTCAAGCTTGTAAAGGCTGCAGAGGATGAAGGGGTTGAAGCCGAGGAGCAGCAGCAATTTCAGTCCTTGGTGGGCAGCCTCTTGTATGCAGCTGTTCACACGAGGCCTGGCATCTCTTTCTCGGTTGGGCAGCTGGCTAGGGTGGTGCAGAATCCATCAGAGGAGCAGGTGGATGCAGCTGAGCGTGTGGTGAAGTATCTGAACTCTCACCCAAGCATTAGAGTTCAATACTCCGCATCTGCACAGGTGAAGCAGAAAGGGGTTGAGGTGCTGAAAGAGAAGGGGGAGAGGCTTGGAGAAGGCAAGCTCTTTCTCACTTGCTTTACCGATGCTACGTGGGCCTCTGAGAAGGAGGATTCCTCATCTGTGGGAGGATACATCTGTGTAGTTGGGGGAGGACCTGTTAGTTGGAGGTCAAAGAAGCAGACGGAGACAGCACTCTCTTCTGTGGAATCAGAGTATATGGCGATGTTCCATGGGGTGAAGGAGGTGATTTGGCTGAGGAGGTTGTTAGAGGAGATTGGCCAGGAGCAGAAGGTTGCTACGCCGCTGTTCTGTGATAGCAAGGGGGCTCTTGGAATGGCCAGGAACGCTGTGCTTCATGGGCTCAATAAGCACATGCGTATCAAGTGGCACTGGCTGCGTAAGGAGGTGAAGAGGGGGACGGTGAATCCGATCTACATCAAGACTCACCAGCAGCCAGCAGACTTCCTCACCAAGAGGCTTGCAGATGAGCCTCACTGGCGTTGTATGCGCATGAGTGGAATGAGTATGAACTAGTATGGAATGATGGGGATGCAGCCGGCAGGCTGAGGGGGAGTGTGTCGGGTGCAAATTCACATTGCACGACATCCTGCCGTCTGTTTGTATGAGTATGAGTGTGCGAATGCATTTGGGTGTGAATGGAATGTTCGGTGTGTTTGTTTGCTTTCGCAATTTTCGCTTGGAGCATTTGCAGGTACTCGCGCATTATGCGCTTCGGCACAACATTGTACGCGCTATGAACAGTACAAGCAGAAAGGACGAGCTCGCAAAGGAACCCACGATGGAAGCTTTGCGGTTCGGTTGAATTGATTGTTTAGATTCAGTTCTATCCAACTCAAAAGAAGGACGACGACTCCAACGACCAACAAGGAGGTACCGGTTGGGGTCGCGGTGCGAAATCTGGACGTGGGGGCAAGTCGGGTGCTGGTGGCAAAATGAAAGGGAGTTGCTGGTATTGTGAGAAGGAGGGGCACCCCTGGTTTTTGTGCTATAAGAAACCCGATGGATGGACACCCCAGAATCGTCACCAGGATGGCGGCGCGCGGAGGAACCAGAAAAACGGTGCGAGCATGGTCGCCGATTCGCCTGACAACAACCCGAAGAGCAACGGCGGTGCGGAAAAGAAGAAGGAGCGCACCACGGGCCAGTTCTTCCATATTGGAGAGCAGGGGGGGCAGGGGGAGCAAGGAGACGCCTCTGCCAAGGTTGGAGCAGAGCTGCACCCCCTGGATTATTGGGTGTTGGACACGGGCGCTGCTTGGACGATGACGCCGCGCAAGGACCTGCTGGACCACGTACGAGCTGCACCGATCAACGAGGTGTGCTCGGCCTCAGGACACGCGCTGAAGGTGGCTGGTGCGGGACGAGCTGCGTTTAAGGGAGCGGATGGCAAGCCGGTGGTGCTGCACGACGTTCTCCTCGTTCCTGAACTCAAAGCCAACCTTATCTCCCTCCGTAAGCTTGGCAAGTCTGGGGTGAGCACTAGTACGGATGGGGCACGCACTTACAAGGGGCAGCGAATTCCTTCCTTGCTGGAATTTCCTTTCTACGCGGTGCGACGGCGGAATGCTACCCGAGTCAACGCTAGGCTAACGCTGTCCGAGCCATAACTTCAAAATGGCAGAACTTTTCGGGAGGCAACTTGGCTTATTTTAAAGCTCTTAAAGTGAACTTCGATATAGGAAATTCTCAGCTTAATCCGATCAACGGTCTGCACGATACGCTGCGCGACGTTCAAGGTACTCTTGCTGTTTTGACTAAGTCCCTCTTGATCCCTCTCTCTACAAACTCGGACCCGAGGATAGGGGCTGGTCTTGTACCAGGCACCCAAGGACCCTTGGAGGTGACCCCGAGGAGAGGTTTTAAGTTTGATAAAGTCTTAATAGCTTGAGTTTATTAGGCCCTTACACCAACAATTAAGACCTTCGACATCTGCAGTATGACATTTGTTTCTCGTGACTGAAGTTGAACCACTCCTTGTCGTCGTGTGCGCAGGTTTTGGTTGTTAGCGACGGTGATGACTACTTCGCGTTGGAGTTGGTACTCTCGCTGCACGAAGCGTCCTGAAGAGCACATATGCTGTCCGCAGCAACTATCCAAGAACCAAGTATCCTTTCCAGATGGTTCGCTTTGGGCGATAGCTGCATACGTCGGGTTCGGTTGAAATGACTCGTGGCGGGGCGTACTATTGTCGAGTTGCTCTTCCGCTGAGTAGTGCGGCGGTAACTCGGTGATGCAGGAGTCGGTCAGTTTTGCCATGCAGCTGACGATGTTTCTTGCTCCTTGTGCAGATTGTGTTTTTGAAGGCTGCGACTGACTCGTGTGGTTTGCCTGCGTCGATGCCACTTGGCTGCTTGAGGGTCGAAGCTGCTGTTGCGGTGGAGTTGACTGTTGTCGATTCGGGCAGTGTGTGCGTGGGTGTCCTGACGTTTTGTAGATGTGGCAGAACGGAGGTATAGGCTTTAGTTGTTGTCGATTGTTGTTGTTGTTGTAGCGTCGCTGAGTGCGGAAAGCGAATTCCGGTGCTGATGTCTTCCTCTTGTGCCTTTCTTCTTGCAGGTCCATGTCTTGTTGCTCGGCATGAATTTCAGAGCAAAGTGCTGCTTCGGATATTCTTCCGTGAGCTCGGAGAATGGCTTTTGTGGCGCACCATTGAGGATCGAGGCCGCCGATGATGACTGTCACGAAGGCGTCTTCAGATATCGACCCTCCGCATCGAAGGAGTTTGTCGCGCAATTCGCAACCGCGACTGATATACGCCATCCCCCTTTCCCCTGGTTTCATTTCGACTGTTGTCAGTTGTGCCATTAGTCGACTCTGATTTTATGCTGTCTGTTGCTTGATTCAGGCTTTTCAAGTGGCCGTATGCGAGCTCGGCGGAGTTGCCGTATCCTCGGTAAGACCGTATATTCTGTTGTTGAGTCGGGGTGATATTCCTCAGTAGGATTCTGTACGCCATCATTGACTGATAGGTGTACTGCTGCTTCTCGTACTGTGTGCCGTTTGTTGGGTATGGCAGGGATCCGTCGAAGAAGCCGAGGATTTGCGCGCCTTCCATCATCAGCTCGAACTCGAATGACCAGGTAAACAAGTCCTTTCCGTCGAAAGGTCTTGTCGTTTGCAGCTTTAGGACGTGCGCGAACTGCGACTGAACTTGTAGCGTGTCCAGTGTCTTCTCTTGTCCAGGTGCAGGCTGCGGTTGTAGCATAAAGCCGACGGAGCCGCGTTGGGGCTCGTACGGAGCAAAGGTAGGTTGCTGCTGTTGATTTCCACGTGCGTAGGATGAACCATCAAGGCTCATTGGAGTCATGTCGTTGTTCTTGTTGCTGTTGTGTGACTGCGCAGGTACCGATTGCTGGTGTTGCTCATAGAAGGACATGAAGGAGAAAAACTTCTCCATCATGCTCTGGTCGAAGCCTGCAGGTTGATTCGCGGGAGTCTCGGTGGATGTTGCCCTGGGTCTTGTTGCCGTACCCTCCTCTGTCTGTAGGCCAGAGGCAGGAGGTGGAGTAGGAGTAGTGCCGGGAGAACCAATAGAGGAACTGCTTTCCTTCTGAGTAGCCATGTCTTCTGATGTTGTAGGTGTCTTGATAGTTGAATTCCCCCTGATATCTCTCATACCATGTTGGGCTGAGAAATAGCCCTTAGGATCTTTGCAGGGGTGAACTCTGGGTAGAACTGATGTAGTAGCGGAAGCGTTTAATGAAGAGTGGTGAACCACCTTGCGCTAGTATGTGAGGGCAAAGTTTATTAATTAAAGCAAAGAGATACAAGGAATACGAAGAGATACGATTCCAACTGTTTTACTATTGCTGTTGCGGTTCGATACAGTGACGACTCGGGCAACTGCTCTGTAACGAGTCAGTTGTGTGTCCTTGCTGTCGCGCTGTACTTGTCACGTCAAAGGTCGCTGACCTTTGACTTTCGCGTAACCTCCAGCAACTGCTTCAACCTTCGAGGGTTGACTCGCCAGTGCTTCGATATGCTTCGATTCACTTTTGACTTGGTGTTTCGACACGACAGAGGCGCTTAGAGTTAATTGTTTCCAACAACAGTGACACCACTACTGATTGTAGTTATCTAGGCCCATGTCTCTTAGTGCAGCAGAGCACACGTCATGGCATGACTTGTGTTTGCTCTTGACGTTGCGAATCACGGCCTCCAGTCCCATCTCCACCATTATTGGCCTGGGCAGGCGACAGGGGAGAAAAAGGGGCGGTATTCATCCTCAAGGTTGCATGCATGTCACAGGATACTCAGCAGCACATGGCCTACTGCAGCAGGAGAGGGGAGACTGCAAAAGCATACCAGCAGGCACAAGGCAGAGCAAGGTAGCGAGGAGCATGGGAGGGGCGCACCGGTGTTCAGGGTTGCGCACAGCGAGGTTGCGCAGCAGCTGGCACGCCTGCCACTGGTTGCCTGCCGTGGCGCCCCGGCCCTCCATGGCCTCCACTGCCACCTCCAATACGCCCGCCCCCACCGCCGCAGCTGCATGCGCCGGGCTGCGCAGCGTCACGGCTGCCAGACACGCCAGCAGCTGTGGGTGGAAGAGGGGACGAGGTGGGGGCGATGAGAGAAACGAGGAAGAAAGTGAGTGGTGGGGCGAACACTAGTGGCGCCACGACTGCTGCCAAACACGCACGGTTGAACGATGCCGTGGCTGGTGGGCAGGCAAGGAGGCGAGGAGATGCGGTGGGAGAGGTTGGGATTGGGAGGGGGAAGCGAGTGGAAGCATACAGCATGGCGAGTGGAAGCATACAGCATGGCGAGTGGAAGCATACAGCATGGGGAGCTGTGATGGCATTGCAAGGCGAGCGATCTAACAACCTGAGAGCAGTGCACGGGAGCGGGGAGGGAGGCGGCAAGGCCAGAGCACACGGTGTCGGGGAGATAGCAAGGCACAGTCTGTTGGGAATGTCCCTTGACATTCAATACTCAATTGCCGGCGCTTGTGCATCAAGCACTTCCGTTCCTGCTCAACCTCGCCACCTATAGATGACGGTAAATAGGCAGCATCACCCCATACCTCCTGCAGCACACCCCATACCTCCTGCAGCACACCCCATACCTCCTGCAGCACAGCGCCATCGTCCACAAATGCCTTCACTGCTTCCACCAATACTGGAATGCCACATGTCTCCACTATGAGCACCTTGTTGGCATCACTGCCTGCCAGCTGGCGATAAGAGAGTGCGAGACCAGAGATGAGAGGGTAGTTTGCAAGTGATGAGAGGTGCACGAGAGAGGGTAGTTTGCATACGTTAGAACCACCTAAACCCTGCATCACACTTTCTCTGACAAGCATCAACCCCCGAGTTTTATGCTAGTGGCATCATGTACGATTAGTGCAAAGCACTTCAGATGGCTAGCAACTGCCATAGCACCTCCTGCGCCAGCACCCACCTGCGCCAGCAGTGCGGCGGAGGGGGCAGCGAGGGGCAAGCAGTGGGAGGCGAGGGCAGCCCGCAGGTGGGCGAGCACGAGGGGCACCCCACCGAGAGCAGCGATGCTGCGACAGATGTCCTCCTGGGAGCACATGCAGTGGTGCGTGAGAGGGGGAAGAGAGGGCAAGGTATGGGGCAATGGAGGTGGTGGTGGTGGTGGTGGTGGTGGTGATGGTGTTGGTGGTGGTGGTGGTGGTGGTGGTGGTGGGCTATCATTGTTGCCATCGCCGTCATCCCCACTGGCGGCAGAAGCAGCAGCAGGGGTACACGAGCAGGAATGGTGGGTGGCACGAGTGAGTGAGTGAGAGGCACGGCACGCACTTTGACGACGATGGCCTTGAGTGCGCCCAGCACGGCGGGCAGCACGGCCATGTCGGAGGAGAAGGCAGCAGCGGCGCCCAGCAGCACGTCCACGGCACCCGCGTCGGCCATGTTGCGCGCGTTGGAGAAGGTCTTGGACGCCGCCACGCGCACGTTGTCATTCGTCACCAGCGCCCTCACCGCCCCACAGCACGCACATATGGCGCTCCTTGCTTCTGCCACGTCAGCGACGCTGCTGTCCCCGTCGGCACTTTGTTTGGAGTGCACGATGGCGCTGATGGCGTGGAGGAGGTTGACGTGCAGCGCGACGTCCATGAGCGCCTCCTTCACGCCCTCGTTCCCCTCACTGGCTGCCCGCACCGCGGTGGCTGCTGCTGCCAGCCGCGTGAGGCTGCCGGAGGTGAAGGGCGCGACCGAGAGGGCAGCGGCGAGGAGGGGCGGACCTGCGAGGCGGAACAAGTGGTCCCGTGCCCCGGGTACTGCCGTGAGGGGAGGCGAGGGAGGGGTGAGATCATGGAGAAGCAGAGGAGTGAACGGGTAGGCATTGAGAAGGAGAAGAGTGCAGAACGAGTGAGTTGAGACAGACACAGCAGGTAGGTGTGCTGCATAGGAGTTCGTTGTGAGCATGGTGTGCGCATGGTGTGAGCATGGTGCGAGCATGGTGTGCGCATGGTGTGAGCATGGTGTGAGCATGGTGTGAGCATGGTGTGCGCATGGTGTGAGCATGGTGTGAGCATGGTGTGAGCATGGTGTGATCATGGTGTAAGCATGGTGTGAGCATGGTGTGAGCATGGTGTGAGCATGGTGTGAGCATGGTGTGCGCATGGTGTGAGCATGGTGTGAGCATGGTGTGAGCATGGTGTGAGCATGGTGTGAGCATGGTGTGAGCATGGTGTGAGCATAGTGTGAGCATGGTGTGAGCATGGTGTGAGCATGGTGTGAGCATGGTGTGAGCATGGTGTGAGAATGGTGTGAGCATGGTGTGAGCATGGTATGAGCATGGTATAAGCATGGTGTGAGCATGGTGTGAGCATGGTGTGAGCATGGTGTGAGCATGGTGAGCATGGTGTGAGCATGGTGTGAGCATAGTGTGCACATGGTCTGAGCATGGTGTGAGCATGGTGAGCATGGTGTGAGCATGGTGTGAGCATGGTGTGAGCATGGTGTGAGCATGGTGTGAGCATGGTGTGAGCATGGTGTGAGTATGGTGCATGCTGTCTCACAATGCGAGAGCAGCGCCTCAGTGCATGAGAGCGCGTCACACACCGCCCTCTGCACCCTCCCGCCCCCCTCCTCGCCCTCCTCCCCCTCTCCTCCCTTCCCCCCCCTCTCCACCGCCCCTAGCACCACCCCAAGCGCGCCCACAGCAGCGGGCAATCCCTCGTTCCGCCCCGCCACCACTGCTGCTTTCCCAGGCCCTGATCCACCCGCTGCTGCTGTGCCTGCACTTTTGTCCCTCCCTGCGCCCTCCTGCTTCCCCCGCCCGCCCTGACAGCCGCCCGCAGAGGGACTAAGCGCGCGCGAGAGGGTGGACAACGCGTGCAGCACTGCCTGGGAGAACAACGGGATGGGGTGGCGAGGGGCGAAGCGTAAGGTGGTGGGTGCAAGCCGCCGACGCCCTTAGATGCATGACAGCACGCACACTGCCTCTGTTGTGCACGCATCGGGCTAAACCCGGTAAGAATATTTCGTGTTGGTACATCTCCTTCAACCCATCTTCGGGATTTCGCAAATGCTGAAAGAAGGATACGTGCCATGCCTACTCGCGACACTGCAAGGCATGAGTGCTGCACAAATTCAGGAGCTGATAAATGCAGCTTTTAACCAACTCAAACCTGAGCCTCGTAACAATCGTTGAATTTAAAAGCGATCAGACTGACAAACCCCAAGTGCGGATCCGGTACAGGCGCCTCAGTGCATGAGAGCGCGTTACACACCGCCCTCTGCACCCTCTCGCCCCCCTCCTCGCCCTCCTCCCCCTCTCCTCCCTTCCCCCCCCCCTCTCCACCGCCCCTAGCACCACCCCAAGCGCGCCCACAGCAGCGGGCAATCCCTGGATCACAACGTCACCACACATTCTCAGCACAAGTTCACCGCCACAAGGCCAGTTCACATCCAGGACTATAAATCAAGGTGAACAAGCAAGACATCGATCTCAACCTAGCAAGGGTAAGCATGCAGGTGCAAGTATATATAGATCACAGTACAAGCAAAGTCAAGAGGTAAGCAGGTGAGGCCAAGTAGGCACAAGACCTAGCATCGTACAGAAGCGCTGATGATCACAAGGCGGAAGTGCCTTGGTAAATATATCAGCAATGTTGGCCCGAGATGCGACGTTAGCAACACGAAGCTGACCACGCTGCTGCAACTCTCGAGCAAGGAAGTAGCGCAGAGCAATATGCTTCGTTCTGTGCTCCAGTCTGTGCTCCTGACACAAGGCCAGCATGGCCTCGTTGTCGACGTACAGAACTGGAGGAGAACGAGGCGCCTCTCCCAAGTTGGTCAGTAGGTAGGTGAGCCAACGTAACTCCTGTGCAGCAATGGCCCAAGCGTAGATCTCAGCCTCACAACTGGAGCTGAGGACAGAGGACAAGCGGGTAGACCGCCACGAAACAGAGTCGAAACCAAGGCTGAAGGTGTAACCCTGTGACGATCGCTGCGTAGCCAAGTTGTCAACCCAAGAAGCGTCTGCGTGACTAGTGAGGAGAACTCGAGCCCGTCCTCCAAGCACGAGCCCCAGGGTTTAGAGTGAAACACCCTCTTAGCTGCATCCATGTGCTCTGGTCGGTGTCTCCTAGGAGCAACATAGCGTGCCAAAATGCTAAGAGGGTATGCCAGCTCAGGTCGAGTGCAGGTCATAAGGTACATGAGGCAGCCAACAAGCTCTGGGTACGGGCCACTCGGCTCTACGGACTCATCCAAAGGCAGAGCTGAGAGCGAGTGGTGAGTAGACAGAGAAGTGGCCTAAGGCGAGGAGTACGTGAAGTTGAAGCGCTGAAGGACCTGCTGCACCATGTGTGACTAAGTTAAGGTAATGGTGCGCCGTGCTCTGTCCCAGGTGATCTACAAGCCAAAAAAGCTGCGCAGCTCACCCAGTTCTGTGCACGTGTGTCTCTTCTAAAGCTCCGACTTCACGTGGGCCAGTCTAGTAGTGTCAGCAGTAGCAAAGACCAAGTCGTCGGCGTACACGAGGATGTAGAACAGGGCCATAGTAGTGTCGGTGCGGAGAAAGAGCGACGGGTCAGCAGTGGAAGGAGCAAACCCAAGAGCCGCAAGTGTAGTCCTCAGTGTGTCGTGCCACTCACGGGGCGCCTGGCGGAGGCCGTAGACTGGCCGCCGAAGGCTCCACTTGGTACCATGAGGAAACGACCCAGTGAAGCCAGGTGGGCGGCGCAGCCAGATCTCCTTGTGCAGGCTGCCCTGTAGGAAATCAGTGCTGAAGTCAAGAGAGTGAAGCTCGTAGTCACGGTGAGCGGCGACGTGCACCAGCACTCGAAGAGTGGTCATGTTCGGGGTGGGAGAGAAGGTCTGAAAGTAGTCAACTCCCTGCCGCTGACTGAAGCCTCGAGCCACGTAACGCGCCTTGAAGACAGGCGGAGAACCCGGCGGCTGCTTCACCCTGAAAATCCACATGCCATCGACAATGTTCGCCCAAGGTGGGGGAACCTCGTCGACATAGGTGCCTGTGGACTTCCACGAAGCCATCTCTGCGTCCATGGCTGTCTGCCACTAAGAGGAGTAGGGACCCTCTATCGCCTCTGCGTAAGAGCGCGGGGTCGGGATGTATGGTGCATCCGGGTCTCCCTCAAGGGCAAGCAGCATGGACACGAGATGAGGTAAAGCAGCAGCAAAGCACTTAAAATCCTCTTGCATGTCCTCAAGGACGTCATGCTAAGAGCACACTCAACCCCGGCGGACGGAGAACAGACAGACTCAGACTCAACAACAAGACTAGCGGCATAGTCAAGACGACAGTGAGCAGCAAAGTCGACAAGCTTAGCAACTAAGGGAGACGCAGCAGTGGACTCAAAGGAAGGGTCAGTGACAACAGTGGCCAGGAGACGCGTAATAGTAGGACTAGCAGCACGAAGGGAGTCAGACTTCGGGTCAGCAAGGGCAGGAAGAGAGGACGCAGGAGGAGATGGCGGAGGGACACGCTGCAGAGCAGTGGAAGGACGTAGAGCTATCTGGTGCGTGCCAGGGACAGGAGGAGGACGCTGACACGAACCACGACGACTGGTGTGAGCAGCACGAACAGGTGGCGCAGGACAAGACTCAGGCTCACGACGCTCCGTAAGACCTCCGGTCGGACCAGTGTAAGGAGAAGGAGCAGGCAGCGGGGAGGCGGGCTGTAACTGTGTCTGCGACTAGACAGGCGGTGGACACTCTAAGGAAGGAGCAGGATTAGTAGAAGGCGGGAGACCAAGAACCTGTTCAAGGAGCGGAACGAAGTACGGCCGCGACCGCGCAGCGCCTCCAGAACCAGCAGTGACAGCACCAGCACCCCCAACGACAGCTACGACTCCAGCAGCGCCACCAGCTCCACCAGCACCTCCAGCAGCTCCAGTAACGTCAACTCCAGCACCCTTAGGAGCACCGTCTCTAGCAGCACCTCCAGCTCTAGCACCTCCAGCAGCTCCAGCTCCAGTAGCACCGCCAGCTCCAGCACCCCCTGCAGCTCCAGCCCCAGCAGCACCACCAGGCCCAGCAGCTCCATTACCTCCAGAACGAGCACCTCCGGGACCAGTGGCTCCTGAACCCCTAGCAGCTCCAGCAGCAGCAGGACCTCCAGCTCCCGTAGTACCACCAACTCCAGCAGTACGGCTCCAACGCCTAGCAAACCACTCGCGCAGCTGCTGTGGAGAGAGTTGCTCCCGACGGAATGAAGCACCCGAAGGACCTCCAAGCTCAGCACCCCAGACTCCACACCCGCAGGCTGAGCACCCCTAGCAGCACCAGAGTCAACAGCTACCTCGACAGGCTCGACTGCGTCTACCTGGGACACACCTGAGGGGGCAGGACCCTGAGGGGGGAGGGGGTCTACCAGGGGAGGACCTGGCGCGAGGAAGATCGGCGGGGGGGGGAGGGGGCAAGTGCGGTAGGGAAAGAGACGGTAGTAAGGTATCGAGTCGTCAAACGTGACGTCCTGAGAGGGGAAGACACGGCGCGAGTTGGGGTGGTAGAACTGCCAACCAGGCGCATTAGGGGGGAATCCAAGGAAGACGCAGGGAACAGCATGGGAGGACAGCTTGTCCGCAGACAAGTCGCGGACAAAAGCTCGAGATCCCCAGACACGGAATGCAGACGCATCGCCAACCTTCCCCATCCACCGCAGAGTAGGTGTGGTCTCCGGCATGGAGACCCGGGGCTGGAGGTTGAGCTGATGAGCAGCGTACTGAACCGCGAATGGCCACAGAAAATGGGGAGCCGCCGCATGAATCATGGACGTACGAGCGACATCCATGACCATGCCAATGCGGCGCTCAGCAATCCCATTTTGCTGTGGAGAGGCTGGAAGCGTGAACGTCTGGCGGATGCCCTCCGCACGACAGAAGGTTCGTAGAAGGTCGGATAAAAACTCTCCACCTCTGTCGGAGTGCAGACGCAAAACAGGAAGGTCCGAGCCGAAACTCTCGCTGAGCAGATGACGGGCAGCGCAGATCCAGTCAATCAGCACCTCAGTGACCTCATCCTTGCGGCGTAAGGGGAAGACTGTGGTGTAAGGCGAGTAGTCGTCAACGACCAGCAGAAAGTAGCGCTCGTGACCCTGTCCATGGACGCGGGCTGGGCCCCACACGTCCATGTGAAGAGTCTGCAGGGGAGCCTCCGTCCGAGGGAACTCTGTTAGAGACTAAGGATCGAGTCTGTGAAGATTAGGAGCCTAAATTTCTCAAAATCGTTGGCTTGAAATTCTGGACAGAAACCGCGACTTCACAAGAAACGTTGTCGACGAAAAGTGTACAGTTAGAATCGTCTCAAACTCGAGTATGTTATAGCCCTTGTTTGTGGCTATCATTCCCAATTTGAATCGTATCGAAAGGTGGAGTAAAGCTCGAGTTATGCTTTACGGCGCACCAGGGGGTATGCTGCCACATAGAAATTAAATTCACTCACAATAGTTTCACAAGTTCACAAGAGTTGCACACAAGAGAGTTAGAGTAGCACTAAACCAGGTGGGAGGAAAGAGGAGGATGAGAGGGAAGGTCCCAAGGAGTCCCCAACCAAAGAAAACTCCATGCCACACAATTCCCTTCCCCATAGGCAACCCAACTTTGACCTTTGTCACTATCCCAACCTCCACAATCCACCTCAACCCAACTTGGCCACACTTGCCAACCTGGTTTGGTTTCTCCCAACCAATTGGCAGCAACTACAGTAGTAGTGACGAATTTCCCAACCCCCAAAAGTCTGTACCCCATATTGAGTCAACCCCACAACTCTCCATGGTCACCACAACCAAATATCAAAAGCATACGAACTCCAACGTTCGTAACTTTCTTGTTCGTGCTCCGATTGAAGTGATTCTTGGTTCGTCGGAAAGCTCTTGAGCAGTGGAGTCACTTCAGATATCTGCTCAAGCCAAATAACATTCACACACACTCAGAAAATCCAAACCGCACAAAACACAAATTCTTGCACACACTCACAACACGCATGCAACGCA